GACAGTGTAGCAAATACAGTAGAAGACAGAGTCACGATCAGTGTTCCCTCTAAGCTGAGTTAGTCTGAGCTAGCTCACAGTTTTTTAGCCTCCGGCTCACACATTTTTGTCTCAGCTCAGGAAGGAGGGCTCCAGAGCAAACTAATTTAGGCAGCAGCCAAATCGCCTGCTCACAACTTGAATGCCAGGAGCCCACAAAGTAGGATTTTTGCTCACAAGACTCCACAGCTTAGAGGGAGCATTGGTCACGATACAGGATGATCTTATCAGGCTGGAAAACTGGGCCAAAACAAATAAAATGAATCTCAACGGGGATAAACGTAAAGTTCTGCATTTTGGTAGGAAAGATCAAATGCACCATTATAGGATGGGGGAGACTTGTCTTGGCAGTAGTGTGTGCGGAAAGGATCTCGGGGTCTTAGTAGACCATACACGGAACATGCGTCAGCAGTGTGATGCGGTAGCTAAAAAGGCAAATGCGATTGGGGGCTGTATCAACAGACGTATAGCGTCCAGATCACGCAGAGTGATGGTATCGCTTTACTCTGCTCTGGTTAGACCTCACCTAGAGTCTTGTGTTCAGTTTGGGGCACCACAATTTAAGAAGGATATAGACAAGCTGGAATGTGTCCAGATGAGGGCAACGAAGATGGTGAAAGGTCTGGAGACCAAGTCCTATGAGGAAAGGTTGAAGGAGCTGGGTATGTTTAGCCTGGAGAGGAGACGACTGAGAGGTGATATGATAACCATCTTCAAGTACTTGAAGGGCTGTCATACAGAGGACGGTGCAGACTGCAATGTTCCCTCTAAGCTGTGGCATCTTGTGAAAAAATTCTACTTTGTGAGCTCCTGGCCTTAAGGTTGTGAGTGAGCGATTTGACTGCTGCATAGATTAGTTTGTTCTGGAGCCCTCGTTCCTGAGCGAAGACAAAAATACGTGAGCCGGAGTCTAAAAAACTGCGAGCTGGCTCACACTAACACAGCTTAGAGGGAACACTGCAGAGTGGTTTTCTGTGGCCCCAGGAGATCGGACCAGAACCAACGGGATGAAATTAAATCAGAAGAGTTTTCGGCTGAACATTAGGAACAGTGGAACAGGCTTCCTCGGGAGGTGGTGGGCTCTCCTTTGGAGGTTTTCGAACAGAGGCTCGATGGCCATCGGACAGCCAAATGCCGATCGCCACTTTGGGGACAGGAAGCAATGGTTCTCCAGGCCAGTTTGGCTGGAGATCCTGGAGGCTTTTTGTCATCTTGGAGCCAGTTCGGTGTAGTGGTTAAGTACGCGGACTCTAATCTGGGAGAACCGGGTGTGATTCCCCACTCCTCCACTTGCACCTGGCTGGATGACCTTGGGCAAGCCACAGTTCTGATAAGAGCTGTTCTTGAAAAAGAGCCGTTTCTGTCAGAGCTCTCTCAGCCCCACCTTTCTCACAGGGTGTCTGTTGTGGGGAGAGGAAGGAAAAGGAGTTTGTGAGCCACTCTGAGACACCTTTGGGTAGTGAAGGGCAGGGTATAAATTCAGTCTCCTCTTCTTCTTCATCTTCTGAGCGTGACGCTCACTTGGGGATTGTGTGAGGAGATATTTGTGATTTTCCTGCCTTGTGCAGGGGGTTGGACTAGATGACCCTGGAGGTCCCTTCCAACTCTATGATTCAATGATTCTACGAGCAGTTCTTGAAAGAGCTCTCTCAGCCCCACCTACCTCACAGGGTGTCTGTTGTGGGGAGGGGAAGGGAAAGGAATTTGTAAGCCGCTCTGAGACTCCCTTGGGTAGTGAAGGGCAGCGTATAAATCCAATCTTCTTCAATGTGTGACAGACATATAGAATTTGGCAGGCTGGGTTGTGACGTTTTGTTCTTAGACCTGCCGCCAATGAGGAAACCTGTTTTACTTTGAAGCAGATACTCTGTGCCTCTGTGTCACTGGGAACACACAAGAAGGCGCACACTGTCCCTTGAACATAAACCGGAATGGTGTTACAGTCAGGGCTGAGCGAGACACGATGAGGGATGCCACCACCATTTTAAAGTCATTTAAAAATGCCACAGGGGCCCGATCCTGATCGGGCCCACAGTGTGGCCTTGTTTCCCTGCTTTCCGTGGCTACTAGCCATAGTGGCTGAGGGGAACCTCCACATTCAGGGGCACTAAACCTCGAAATCCCAGAGCCAGGAGGCAACATCAGGGGAAGGCCTCAGCCTCCGAGCCCTGTTGTTGGACCTCCAGAGGAACTGGTTGGCCACAGTGTGAGACAGGAGGCTGGCCTAGATGGACCCTCACTGGTCTGATCCAGCAGGGCTCTTCTGATGTTCTTAGGAAGGCCTCGGCTTCTCTGCCCTGTTGTTGGCCCTCCAGAGGAACTGGTTGGCCACAGTGTGAGACAGGAGGCTGGACTAGAGGGACCTCTGGTCTGATCCAGCAGGGCTCTTCTGATGTTCTTAGGAAGGCCTCAGCCTCTCTGCCCTGTTGTTGGCCCTCCAGAGGAACTGGTTGGCCTCTCTGAGAGAAGGGATGACAGACTAGATGGTCCCAGTGGTCTGATCCTTCAGGGCTTTTCTTACGTTATGTTCCCTGCCCTGTTCCTTTTCAAGTTCTTTGGTAGCTGTTTCATACGGTTGCCAACTCCAGGTTGGGAAATACCTGGAGATTTTGGGGGGAGAAGCCTGAGGAGGGCGGGCTTTGGGGAAGGGAGGGTTTCAGTGGGGTATAAGGCCACAGAGTCCACTTTCCAAAGTGGCCGTTTTCTCCAGCTGAACTGATCTCTGTCACCTGGAGATCAGTTGTGATCCCAGATCTCCAGCTGCCACCTGGAAGTTGGCAACCCCACTGTTTTGGCACTTGCCAGGGCATGGGAAGGACAGCGTCACGGGTGGGCTCGATCAGGATCGAGGCCGTGTGGCATTTTTAAATGACCAAACACCATCATGTCCGGTTCATCCTCAGTAGAAGCAGTGAGCAGTGACTCATCTTCTCCTGCTACAGACAAATGTGGCTACCCATCTTAGAGAGCCAGTTTGGTGTAGTGGTTAGGAGCGCAGACTCTAATCTGGGAGAACCGGGTTTGATTTCCCACTCCTCCACATGCAGCTGCTGGTGTGACTTTGGGTCAGTCACAAGTTCTCTGAGAGCTGTCCTCTCACGAGCAGTTCTCTCAAGAGCTCTCTCAGCCCCACCTACCTCACAGGGTGTCTGTTGTGGAGAGAGGAAGGGAAAGGAGATTGTAAGCCTCTCTGACACTCCGAGTGAAGGGCGGGGTATAAATCCAACTCTTCTTCTTCTCCTCTTCTTCGTTCCTTCCTACTCATTTGCTTGCAAGCACTCCAGAGTCGATGAGGCAATGCATGCAGGTGTACATGGAGGGGCCACGGCTCAGTGGTAGAGCATCTGCTTGGCGTGCAGAAGGTCCCCGGGGCAATTCCCACCATCAGAGGGGTAGTAGGTGATGGGAAAGCGGCTGCCAGTCTGAATGGACAGTATTGAACCTAATGGGGCAATGGACGGATACAGTACATGACAGCTTCGTGCATTCGTGTGTGTTTATGTGTTCACCGGCTAGTGCTATTGGAAAAGGGGCACGAATGTGGGGCAGGCAGTGAAGAAGAAGAAGAGGAGATTGGATTTATACCCCGCCCTTCAGTAGCCGAAGGTGTCTCAGAGCGGCTCACAAACTCCTTTCCCTCCCCCTCCCCACAACACACACCCTGTGAGGTGGGTGGGGCTGAGAGAGCTCTTGACAGAAACGGCTCTTTTTCAAGGACATCTCTTATCAGAACTACGGCTTGCCCAAGGTCATCCAGCCAGGTGCAAGTGGAGGAGTGGGGACTCAAACCCGGTTCTCCCAGATTAGAGTCCGCGCACCAAACCCACTACACAAAAATAAGAGGAGATTGGATTTATACCCCGCCCTTCACTACCCGAAGGAGTCTCAGAGCGGCTTACATACTTCTTTCCCTTCCCCTCCCCTCCCCACAACACACACCCTGTGAGGTGGGTGGGGCTGAGAGAGCTCTTGACAGAAACGGCTCTTTTTCAAGGACATCTCTTATCAGAACTACGGCTTGCCCAAGGTCATCCAGCCAGGTGCAAGTGGAGGAGTGGGGTAGGCGGGGCTGAACTGACCTTGAGAGAACAGCTCTGAGAGAACTTGTGATTGACCCAAGGTCATACCAGCAGCTGCAAGTGGAGGAGTGGGGTAGGCGGGGCTGAACTGACCTTGAGAGAACAGCTCTGAGAGAACTTGTGATTGACCCAAGGTCATACCAGCAGCTGCAAGTGGAGGAGTGGGGAATCAAACCCGGTTCTCCCAGATTAGAGTCCGCGCACTCAACCACGACACCAAGCTGGCTCTCGACACCTTTCAGGTATGCTCTAGGCTGATCCCACATTGAGCAGGGGGTTGGACTAGATGTCCTGTACGGCCCCTTCCACCTCTGTGATTCTATGATTCTAGAACAGTGATGGCGAACCTTTTAGAGACCGAGTGCCCAAACTGCGACCCAAAACCCACTTATTTATCGCAAAGTGCCAACACGGCAATTTAACCTGAATACTGAGGTTTTACTTTAGAAAAAACAACTCATACATTAACTTAAGAGGATCCAAACAAAGTAAGGAAAGCAATCCCAAATGCTTTCATTTACTTAAAATTATTTGGCAGAGAATTCGATACTTTAATGATGGCCTGGGCCTGGCTGGGGCGATGGCACGCGTGCCCACAGAGAGGGGCTCTGAGTGCCACCTCTGGCCCCCGTGCCATAGGTTCGCCACCACTGTTCTAGAAGACAGCTGTTGAGAAAGGCTACGAGTTGAATTTGTGTGTTTTGTTTGGCCTTTACTGGATTCTGTACAACGGTGGTTTTAAGTAACTGAATTCTGGCCACTGGGTTTCACTTTTGCGTCCGGAAACTCGATTTACGCACCTCTGGAAAAGTGGCACCAAACCCGTACTCGTAACTGACCGGCTTCCCTTTCGGTTTTGCTTCTGCCCCTGTTGCCTTCCAGTCCAGGCGTGATGAACATTGCAACGATCGACGTCTACCTGAACAAGGCGGGGACCGGCCTCCAGACCGTGCTCTACGGCGGCGAGGAACAGGAGAACGAAGCCTGGCGCATGTACGTGGAGAGGAAGAACATGGTCCTGGAGTTCCTGCGCTCCGACCTGAGCCCCCACCTGCTCAAACGCCACCACAGGAGGATCGAGCTGCTACGGAAGTGTTCCTACTACATCGAAATCCTGCCCAAGCACCTGGCCCTGGGAGATCAGAACCATCTAATGCTCCCCACCACCATGTTCCAGCTGATAGACCCCTGGCGGTTCCAGAGGATGAAGAAAGTGGGGACCATCCAAACCAAAATCCAGCTGCTGCTGCTTTCGGAACTCTTGGAACGGTTGGAGAGAGGCCGGGACGAGCTGGTCCACTTCCTGGAGACCTACGACATGGCGGCGTTCCTCTCCGGCTGGGACGTCATCCGACGACGGTTGTCGGACCTGTCCGACCAGATGGACGGCTTCCTGGCGATGCTGGTGCCCGGGAAGCTGTACGTCAAGCATCGCCTCGTCTCCGAAGTCGGGGTCACCAAGATCCCGCACATCAAGCTCGTCCTGGTCACGAAAATGCCGGTGATGTTCGACCGGAAGGAGTCGGTGGCCCACGAGGACTGGGTGTCCCTCAAGTGGTTCGTCAGCACCCAGCAGCCTCAGCTGGAACAATACGAACTCCATTTCAAGTTGTTGGAGCCCCGGGCGCCGCAAGAGAAGGTCCACTGCGGGGTGATGGCCGTCGCCTCGGACACCTGCGAGATCCACAACCTCCTCTCCGACCGCCTGTACCGCTTCTCCATCAAGAGGGCAGAGACTTACACCCTTGTCTATGAACAGTGGCGCGATTCCATCATGCTGAAGACAAAACCGTACCACGAGGGAGGCGAGGAGGGCCCCACGCCCGAGCCTCACCTTTCCCATCTTAGCCATACACAAGGAATGTAGAATATGTCAGATTAAAAACTTATTTTTAAAGGTTTCGCATGAAAGCGCGGCATTGCCTTCTCCTGCAAGGTGTGTTTGGGAGGATTCGAACTGGGGACAGTTGGCCATTTGGGTAGTGAAGGGCGGGGTATAAATCCAATCTCTTCTTCTTCTTCTTTTACCTCACAGGGTGTCTGTTGTGGGGAGGGGAAGGGAAAGGAGTTTGCAAGCCGCTCTGAGACACCTTTGGGTAGTGAAGGGTGGGGTATAAATCCAATCTCTTCTTCTTCTTCTTTTACCTC